CACACACACACACACACACACACACACACACACACACACACACACACACACACACACACACACACACACACAAAACAGATGCATGCCATCAGAAGTTATGAACCTGTTGGAGCTTGCTAACATTTGAATTTTGGACTTATTGTCAGACTGAGTGTGAAACATGCAGCCACACGACAGCTGTCCTCACACCCAAGTGACTCAGAGGTGGATTCAGTTGAACTCGTTGAGTTAGAGCAGATTTGACTTGACTTAACCGGCTGAGGGACAAAGGAAGGTACAATTGACTGTTGAGGGTAAAATACCTAAATCAAACTGGCATTTTTTTTAGCACTTTTTACTAAGTTTTTAATAGTTTTTATTGGTTTTAACTTTTAACCCGAAATTGTGAGCTGCTGGAAAATGCTGAGGTGCCGATTTGTTTCTTTTCCGGCACATAGCCCATTCTGGAAACGGAGGCCCAAGAAGTACTGGTGGTTGAACAAATTTCTGGAAGGAAGCCGAGGAATTCTGTGATACCATCACAAACAACAGCACGGCCGACGATTGGCCGCTTGACCAGGAAACTGCAAACAATATGTTTTTGAAAATAATGATTCTTGAAAAATATGAAGGCGCACTATCCCCTTCTTCTTCGTAGTCTTCTTCTTCTTCTTCTTCTTCTTCATCTTCATCTTCATCTTCATCTTCATCTTGGCCTTCGTCTTCTTCTTTCCCGCCCCCCTTGCAGCGATGGTTTTCTAACTGCACGCCTACACTGGAGTTGTGGCCCTTGTGGGGTTACACACACAGAGAGAGAGAGAGAGAGAGAGAGAGAGAGAGAGAGAGAGAGAGAGAGAGAGAGAGAGAGAGAGAGAGAGAGAGAGCATAGACTCCCATATGGATCATTGCCATGTGGCACCAACTCCAGACACAGGTTTCCCTGACCCGACGGAGATACTTCGCGGCGTGGCAACAACCATGTTGCGGGGGAAGAACGACTTCTTCTTCATCTCCTCCTCCTCTTCTCCTTCTTCTTCTTCTTCTTCTTCCTCTTCTTCTTCTGCAGTACTACTACTAAGTAATACTAACTACCACTATGACGACTACTACTACCTACCCCTACTTCTGCTGGTGCTACTACTAAGATTGGATATTTATTATTTACCAATGGGCCTAGTACCTCAGTTGACACACCCATGAACTGTTGAAATACAGACCCGATTCTGAATCCAGATTCAATCAGGTGACCGGAATAAAATTTCATTCTAAAACCATTCTGAATTACCTGAGGTCGGTCCATTCAATGATGATATCTCAAGCCGATTACCTTTATTTATATGTAATAAAAAAAAAATCAAAAAAGGATATTGCATACTCACAGAGCAAAATAAGAGGCAATGGAATTAAAGAGGACACTCACGGTGCAACAATGTCGGGCTTGATCCTTGCATCCAGGGTCGGCCCCTTGCTCGAGAACGGTGCAAGGAATACATTATTTGTGTCATTCCTGCGCGCGTCCATCTTATAAGTTCTGCAGGAGTCACAAACTGGTTGGCAGTACTCCTGGCAGAATTCAAAGCTCTCCTGTGTGCTCAGACTCGCACCAACCTGATTCCATAACCCACATCACAAAATTACCACCGAGTCACCGACCCTAACGGCGTCAGAGAGAACGGAATCCGGTTCAGAATCTGAAGAAGCAGGCGAGCCACAGAGTACACAATTATAGAACAACAATCACAACGCACATTAGCTATACTCGCAGGAGAGCATAGAACGCTACCATCTTTGGCAGAATACAAAGCATCGGTCCCTCCTTGTGCATGTATTGGACTGGAAACATAGCTTGCATGCACTCAATATCAGGATGCCCGGACAAAGCACCAGTCTCAGCATGCAATCTCAATCATCAGGCGGTCAGCGAATTGAGTAACATCTCCTTCTGCCAAACACAACACAGCTTAATTATCATGAATGTATACAAGCTATGTGTCTGGTCGGATAGATTCAATGCATGTTGAGGAATACAAATGTATACAAGCTATGTGTCCACAAGCTATGTATACACCTTAATCATGAATGTATACAAGCTATGTGTCTGGTCGCAGTGGTCGGACAGGTTCGGGGCAAGATGGTAGCCACTGTCGCCAGTTGAATTGCAAAACAAACTGTTACAGTTCCACACACACAAAAAATGATCAAGCATGAAAACCAATATATGCATATAATGAGGGATTAGCTGCTGATGAGTCGGCGAAACTCCGACGAAAGTCTGTCACAGCATATCGGTTGTTGTCCACTACTCGCGGCGCCTCCCACGCTGCCTGCAGTTCACATCATAGTTCTCTATTGCGCACTCCGACGGAAGTCCGTCACAGCATATCGGCTGTTGTCCCCTTCTCCTGGCGCCTCCTGCAGTGCCTGCGGTTCACCTCATAGTTCTTTAGGGCGATACATAAGTACAAAACAAAAGACCGACGGGCCTGCCGGTCCCTATGGTCGGCCAAAAACGCTGCAGGCCAGCCACCCAACCGCCGACGATCTTTTAATAACCAAGTGCAATCAACCCTCAGCGTAAACGAATACAAGCTACATTTACGGTCAGATACAGTCACGATGAGGATACATTGCATTCAGTGGAAGACGGTAGCTATTAATGTATTGCGAGACATCTTGGCTGCCATCCTAAACCACCGCTACCTCCAAGCCTCTATTTGCCAGGGCTAGAAAAGAACTCCGCGCCAAGCTTTGCCGAAGCACCAGCGCAACTTGTTTTTTTTATTTGGCTGGCGCCGCCAGCCATTTTGGTCCGGAGGCGCTCTGCCTCCAAAGAATAAGATATCATAGGTTACAGCACAACTTTAGGAGGTTTTTCGAGCTTGCACGTGAAAGGTACTGGTGGTTTAAGGACTTCATTACTACCGTCTTTCCCCTGACACATCGGCCCCTCATCACGAGTGAGTACAAGCTATCTTTCTGGTCCGATCATTGACGCCAATAGCGTCAGCATGATCATACTGCAATCACTCCTCAGACTATGAACTGATCGCTTCAACATTCGTTCCTTTTCTTTCTTTCTTTTCTTTTCTTGTTTTTTTTTCTTTTTTTTGGGACAAAGCTCCAGTCTATTCGTGGGGAGCAGCATGTGCTGGGAATCGGGCGCAGCATCCTTAAAACATTCCTTGTTCAATTTGATCGTCATTCCCCCCCCCCCCCCCCCACACACACACACACCCCTCCAAAGGGCTGGCAACCCAGTTAACCTGCTGCGGGCACTTCTCATCTGTTCATGATTATTGATTACACAGTAACAGCCAACAGTAAACAATTCCGGTGGAGTGGTCCAAGATTGAAGTCCTTGTTCATGTCAGCACTTTCAAAATGTCCTCGATGCCCGGTAAACAAAAAACAATAAACGATAACATATCTTTCACGGAACCTTTCTTCTTCTTTTTTACTTGGACGCAAACTTCATGTGAACTCATTCTATATCCACTGAAGGATATATACAATGGATCCCTGTGTTAGGGTGATCATCCCGGAGGGTTTCTTTACTCTTTCATCAATCCTAGTTTGTGTGATACAGTCACACACATGGGTTTTCCTTGGACTCTCTCTCTCTCTCTCTCTCTCTCTCTCTCTCTCTCTCTCTCTCTCACACACACACACACACACACACACGCGTGGAGTTGTGTCCAACAAACATGACACCACACATGCATATAACAATATCGTCATAGATTTGCACACAGACAAATAAACATAGCTTCTACGCGCACACACACACACGCACGCACGCACGCACACACACACGCACACACACACACACACACACACACACACACACACACACACACACACACACACACACACGAATACAAAAACCAGGAAAAAGAAAAAGGACGACAAAGAGAACAGAAACAGGCAGGCACACATGTACACATTTGCACACAGAGAAATATAAAAACGAAAAAAAAAAAAAAAAGAACGACAAAGAAAACGGAGACAGGCGGAGAGACTCGTATGAAAAAAAAAAACTTACAGTCAAGCAGTTCTTCGCCGTTCCAGGGGAGGTTACTGTGTTGAGGCCTAATTTCCCTGCGTTCCCAGCTGAGAAGACAAGGAGAAAGTTCTCGTTCCTGGATCGTTCAAAAAAGAACAAAAAACAAAATAGGCCATGCATCCCCACAATGCAAATACAGAATCGTCAGTGTAACAGTCAGACAACATTGGCACCAACACTGTATGTCTTAACCTCTGCTCAGCCTCCCAGCCGTTATGAGTTTTTATGACAACATTATTTCTGCACTGAGAGGGTGCTCCACACTACACAGAGTACTTAACCAGTCCGACAACATAGAGACCAACACTGTATGTCTTGACCTCTGCTGTTACGAGTTTTTTGTAACAATATTATTTCTGGACTGAGCAGCTGCTCCACACTACACAGAGTACTTAAGAGACCTGGCTGGCAGATGGTTACCAGCCAAACAATAGCTGAAGTGGTGTGTGAGCTCATCACGGTCAACAGTTTGACTAGGCTCAGTTTTGATTCAAATTGACTGGGGCGCTTTGTTGTTGAGATGACATTTGCACCAAGTAATGATATTAGCCTGATTGTCGATTTGTGTCGATTTGCGGACGTCAGGTCTTGAAGAGATAGGCTCTACAGTAACTCTGTATGTACTTCGTTGCGGTATAGGTCTTCCATTTGATTTGGATGGGAGCGAGGGTTTGTTCGATTTTCGCGTGCAGATAAAGAAACAAAACTGGAAGGCCTGAGTGCATGAATGCATGAATGTCCTGTGAAGGTTGTTCCTTGCCCGATACAGAATTTTAAAAAGCCCACGCGGCTGAATGCCACACACATGTGACCGTTGATGAACAGACCATAAGCTCAAATCCTGACTGATGGAGTCATAGTGGCTCAATAACGCTGCGTCGCTGCCGTCTTCACCCGAATACGACACCCAGTCATTACAGCTGCATCTGGGCTGAAAGTTGCTCCAAGTACAGCTATAATGATCGGGCATTGTATTCGGGAGAAGGTGGTAGGAGTCCCCGCTTGACCGGACAACAAAAGAGATTCTTCTGAACTACGGTCGTGATTGAATTGCCTGGTTTTCTCTTCCCTTCTTTCCCGTAAAAAACTACGGTCGTGATTGAATTGCCTGGTTTTCTCTTCCCTTCTTTCCCGTAAACCGCTAGTACCTTCGCCGTCCAGTTTCGACAAGTTTCAGCCTACCGTCTTCACCTGCAAATAACCCCTGGGCGTTATATTCAGTTTACTCTAAAAAAAAAGATGAGATTTTCGTCTTTACTCACTTTTTTCGAAATAGTACGCCCCTTCGAATAGAACGCCCAGGAGTTATATTTGAATGTTCCATGGGCAAAGTGCCTTGAAGAGGTAGTATACATGGTTCCATGGGGAGAGTGCCTTGAAGAGGTAGTCTACATGGGTTTTAAAGGGCGGGGAAGGGGGTATACATGGATTTTGAACAGGGTTGAATGGGGTTTTGACTTCCGAGGGGTGTATTTTCCCATTTTGGCTCCTTTTTTTTTTTTTCCGAGTTTATAAAGAATTCTGAATTGACCCTCAGCCAAACATTGGTCGCATTGCAATCCTGGACAACATTTTTTTTTTTCAGAATTTTTTTATTTATTTTTTCGGAATTTTGGGGCCTCACTGAAGTTGGCACAGATTTACTGAATATAACGCCCAAGCGTTATAAACGAATATAACGCCCGGGTGTTATTTTCGGGCGAAGACGCTCCTCCCGAACTTTTAGGAGGCCGTGCCCGTCAACAGCTGCCGTTGATAAATCTGATCGGTGGCCGTCGTTTCGTTTTGGCCTCCTCCTCCTGAAAGATCGGAGGCCCGCTATTTTCCGAACGGACAAAGGTACTAGTTTAACGATACAAGAGATTCTGAATCTCCAAGGACGAGCACTGTCTTGTTCTCAGCACAAAAAAATTGGCGCATGCAAAATATGAATTCAGACTTCAACCGGGAACGTTTTTAAGAACAAGAAACAGCGATGGGAAGGAGCGGAGCGGGAGAGAGAACAGGAAAGCAAAGAGAAGTGGGAGACAACTCAAACGCAAGGAACAGAAAAGAGAGGTGAGTGGTGAATAAAAGAGGCAGGACGAGGGGTCTGCAAAGTAACCCCAAAAGTAGGCCCCCGTGTGCGCTTCATGCCTTGCCCCCCACCTGACTACCCAGCATACACTGGCAGCGATTTCTTTTCTTGCCAACAACAACCAGCAGCTGAGAGCACTGTGATAGAAATCACAGTGGTTCGCAGAGAAAAAACGACTGCCGCCATGCTTACCTATACATAATATCGTCGACATCACGAGCTAATTCATCGTAAATCATATTCCTGTCAACTTCGATACCTGCCACACACAAAAGCCACACAATTGGGGATATTATCATATTTGGCAGAAATCAGCCACAGCCTCCTAGGATCTCACAACGATCTCCTTTGCCTAATAAATTAGTAATAATACATTTTCCACGCACTGCCAGGCAGTTAACCTCGCTTTGCAATACATTGACATGGTTACCCAACTTTCGAATACATCAAGTTAACCTGATTTTTTGTCACGTTTGGAGAATATTTATTCGAGTTTGGGGTGCATTAACCTGTCCGTGAGTTTGTGTCGACTTCGTGATACATTACCCTGGATTTGCGGATGCAGGAGTTAACCAGGAGTTCATGAATACACAAACCTCACTCCGTTTGTGAAGATCGCCTTTCGGATAGACTTTCCAGAGAGTCTTCTTAACTGAGTTGGCGAAATTCAATACCTTTCTCGGGCTTTTGGCAATAAGATCAAGTGCACTAATATCAGTTCTGATCAGGTTCAAGTTCCGTTCACATTAACATCTGAATCCACAGTCCATCGGACCCCCCCTTAAGCCTTACCTTAGTTCGTGAAGATCTGCTTTCTGAATCCTGATAGACTTTCCAGAGTGGTGACCCCACTGACCCCACTGAACTGCTGAACATATCGCAATCCGTACAGTCTGCACCGTTGACGCGCTAATGTCAAGTGCGATGAATTCACGACAGGGACCACCACCTGCCCATATAACAGACACATCAGGGCGTCTCACAGGACGTGGGAACGCAGCCCTTAAGGACAAGCCCATAGAAGGCATAGTACTTGTACAGAACGTTTGGCGGATGTGTGCCTCCAAATTGTCCCTAGTTTGAGCCGGCACTTGAAACTCAACAAACCATGCACCAAGTTTGCATCCAGGAATGCTTTCCTGATCAATTATGACCTTTGCCTAGAGGAGCAGCTACATCTAGAAGGTAATGGAAGAGCACCACACCCAACAAAGAATAGTACAGACCACTGCAGGCAAGATCATGACAGCTGAATCAGATGCATTGTGTGAATGTTGCCAACGGTGAGATTTATATGGAAGAAGGTAAGGCCCGTAAGGGTCTGGTCAGGCTGCAACACCATCATGATGCTCTGGTGGCTGACACTGCACATCCTATTTTGTGGCCACGTGAAAGGATCCCAATGCGACGTTGGGAAAGCACAAGCCAGATCCAGACCGTTTTTCTTCCGCACACGCTGACACTGCTGTTGGTTGAGCTAGCTTGCAAGCGAGAAGGATTACTTACCCCATGAGTTGGAATGAATGCTAGCACCAGAAGCCACCGAGTCTCCGTATAATTCCTTGAGCGTTATTTTCTGGAAACCTGAAGGTTCACCATCTGCAGTTGCCATATCATAGAAGACTGGTAGTGATAGATGCCATAAACAAGTGACACAGCCATCCCCGCTAACACACACGCGCCCCCATGCATGAAACATGATCATGCATTTGAGTTGTGGGTGCATGCACACACACACACACACACACACACACACACACACACACACACACACACACACACACACATAATAAACACACACACACACACACAACTGGCAAGCACACACCTATCTATCTCCCAAGCACACACACACACACACACACACACACACACACACACACACACACACACACACACACACACGTACACACACACACACACACGTACAGAGAGGGAGAGTGAGGGTGAGTGAGGGAGAGAGGCACACAATAAAACAAACAAGCAGTGCCACAGAGAAAGCAGGTCAAGACGGGAACGCTAGTTATGCCCACTGACAGATTATCAACGAGCTTGTGAGGGCCATCAACATTATTATTTACACCACCATGAGATAAGAGCGTTCAGGCTTTGAAGTCTTGGTACATTTCCGGATGTCCTAGGCACGGTTCGGCATTTAATTTACAGTTGGCCTGGCACAAATCCTCTGCTGGAGTTTAGAAATACTTAACGTCTGCATCTTCATCCTGCCCTCTCCTTTGAAGCATGCAGCGTGGTCAGAATGCAGCTTTCCGTCTTCATAGAAGAGGAGACTGCTGCTCCCCATTCATTTACCTCTGGCTTATGTTCCTTCTCCCTGCCCAATGTCAAGGAGGAATGAGTGGAGATCAAGGTCAGCGACCTTTCAATGCTGGTCATGGGGAAGAATGATCGAATGTGGAGCAGCAGCAGCACACATACGACACGGAGGAGAGATGCCAGGATAAAGAAGCTGACAGTCTGAAAGCACTAGCAGTGTTAGTATTATTAGTGGAAGCATCACTACTACTACTACTACTACTACTACTACTACTACTACTAGTGGGTACTAATACCACTACTATTGGCAGTGGCAGTAGCAGTAGCAGTAGCAGTAGCAGTAGCAGTAGCAGTAGCAGTAGCAGTAGCAGTAGTAGCAGAAGTGGAAGTAGTAGCAGTAGCACTAGAAAAAATAAAAGTGCAGATGCAGATAGAAAAGCATGGCCTGTGTTAGTAGAAGGAGAACCTATGGCCTGTGTACTCTCGGTTTTCATGCCGCTCGAACACCAGTTAATCCTCTGTTCATCACTTCAGAAATAGCAAATTTTCCAGCCGCGACAAGGAACAGTATGAGACAAAACAGTACGCACTATTTAGAGGAACTTCTGGGACAATTTGATGCCGTCATGAGCTCAGTGAGAAACGCGTGCTCAAAGATAGGCATGCAAAGTTATATAACGCTGTCATCTGCACACAAACGACAGTCTGAGACTCCATGTCCCATAACCACCAGTGTTGCCACAAGAACCATTGCATCTAGACAAGGCCGCGAAGTGCACCGGAGAGGTGATGACAGTTTTAAGGATTGCATGGACCCTCGACCCCTCTTTTTTTCCCTCAATTACACTTTCGAAAAGGACCTTTCCGCATCCATTCCATACGGCCATCTTCCCCCAAGCACAACGCTCCCTCCTATCGGACCGGAAAGACGACCCGTCTACATCCGTAATGAAGGTGCAATATGTTCAGGGGATGGTAGTGAAGTCATCCATAATGAAGGTGCAATATGTTCGGGGGTAGATGGTAGTGAAGTCACCAATGACAACTGAAAGATCCAATGACTACTCCCAGGCTGAGGGATTTCAAACCCCACTCAGTCTGTCTTTTTCTGCAGACACCCTTCCCAAAGTGGAAGCTCTGCATGCAGACACACCCAGTCATTGGGAAAATCTGCAAACAAGGAATCGGCGACATCAATTCAAGTTTTGGTAATTTTTTACTCAGCTCTCCATGGGATTTGAGACCCCCTGCTGAGTAAAAAGGGGTTCCCTGCAAATACCCTTTTCGAAGACGCAAGTCCTGCACGCAGACACACCCACTCATTCGGAAATTTAAAGAGCGAGCAAATGAGAGGTGCTGCCGAGTAAAAGATCGAATGAGTCGTAATGACCCTTCAAAGAAAAATCCAACACCCCTCTTCTTTGCTGCATATACCCTTTCCAGAATAATTATTATGGTAGTTCTACAGGCACGCACAGTGCCACCCAACCCACTTGTTAGCAAAATGAGAACAGTACACACACGTTACTTAGAACCGGAGGCAAGTCTTAGAGAGAGGGGACAGCAGCTTCAGGACCAACTGACCCCCGAGACGTATTTAGAGCACCTCTGCTAATAGTACGAATACCCTTTCCAAAATTGAACTTGTCGCATGCGAGCAGATGCACCCATTTATAATAAAAATCTGCACAGTATGCGCTGCTGCAATAGACTCGAAAGCATCAAGCAACATATATACGTACATACGTACACCATTCAGAGCACGTACACAACGCTTACCATAGACTATAGTGGAAGGAGAGCTCTTCGTATTAAGCATTAAAACTTAAAAGTAACAGTGTGTGGCACTTAAAAAAAAAATTGACATTACATTAATTTACTATACAAGAGCAACTATGCATCGCCAGCTACACTAAGCCCTAAACCCCGTCCTTGGCCTTCGAAACATCGAGCTTGGTTCCTTGCTGGTTGGGTTGCACCGTTGCCATGCACCTTGCAGGTCCGGAAGGTGGGTAGAGGGTAGACCACTTCGAGTACACAGCTTGAGGTAGGTAGGTAGGATGAGATGGAAAACTACTGTCAGTGAGAAAATAAAATAGCATATTAGTAAATGTGGCTGTCCCCCATATGAGGAGAAGCCAGCTTGCATTTTCCTTTATAAAAAAAAAAGATAAAAAAATGAGCATCTATGCATCATAATAGCTGCGAGTGACAGGTGGCTGAGTGGTACACTAGGAGTGTTCAAGAACATGCAGTTCAACGAATTGAAATTTTTGAAATCCAATCGGTTTGAAATCCAATCCGTCAAGAGTATGAATCCCAACAGATCCCCTAGGGTAACGGAGCTGTGACTGACAGGTGGCTGAGTCAGTGAGTGGCCTTAGAAACAGAGAAAGGGAAAAAGTTGAAGACCTATCCACAAGTGCGGCGCTGGCAAGCAATCAAAGTCAATACAAAAAACTCACAGCAGAACTGCGTATCAATATCGAATGCTGAACCCGGTTTCCACCAGGTGCAGCAAACTCTGTACCAGTATGGGGCGCAGCAGGTGCAGCTCCACACCGATAAATAAAGCCTACAACACAGGGGAGCCACGAAATGAGAATGCTTGTGTCACCTCATTATTAAGTGGAAACCCCTGATCTGGAGTTCAAAAAAAAAAAAAAAAAAAAAAAAAGGGGTCCAACAGCAGGCCATCTTGGCCAAAGCACATTTGGACCGTAAGGACTGAGCAGGAAGGAGCTTTTGTTGGTCAAGAAGATGATTGAGGCGGAGTTCTGTTCAAAAAAGTCATCAAGAATTGCAACACGTACCCAGCTTCGCGTCACGCGCGATTCCCGAAAAAGAAGATGTCGGGTATTCGCCAGCCATTCCATCGACAATTGCTTCACCGTCACTGCGCAGATATGGTGAGCCAATCAGAGTTCCCGCCACATGCGTTCCATGCCCTCCTGGCACATCTTCCTCATCAGCAATGTTTTTGTATTTCACAACCTTCCTCAGTGTCATGTTCACTTCCGGTGTTGGAGAACCATTTGGATCATAGAAAAAGCAATGCTGCCTCGCATAAACATTACGACACACAGGCGCGAGACAGACAAGCGAGAGACAGAAAGAGAGAGAGGGAGAGAGAGATGGACAGGGAGGGAAAGCAAGCGGGAGTGGGAGAGAGAGAGGTGGGGGGGTAGAGACAGACAGACAAACAGACAGACAGACAGACAGATATCACACAGAGAGAGAGAGAGAGAGAGAGAGGAACAGGGAGAGGAACAGGGAGGGAGAGAGCAAGCGGGAGTGGGAGAGAGAGAGGGGGGGAAGGAGGGACAAACCCACACACACATGGGAGAGAGAGAGGGGGGGAAGGAGAGACAGACAGACACACACACACACAGGGAGAGAGAGAGAG